CGTAAATCAATCCTAACTTCAGTGAATATACAGATTGCGTGTTACTTGGGCTTAGACGTCTCAAGTGACCACGTGTGTGCGCGGGCGCATCGTTTGACAGCCATCAGCGAGTCAATAAAACTGAGTGATGGTGCTCCTGTGATGTATGAGAGCAGGGTGAATGGATACAACGGGTGATTTATTGAAGTGGCATAGTAATAATAAATAATAAATAAATAGGTGAATAGTTCAAACAAATGCTTTTTTTGTTGTATAAGATTGATTTTGCCGGGTACTTCGTTGCTATGGTTGTATAGTTTTACAACAGCATGAGGCTAATAGGTACCTGAATGAATCTAAGAAATAACAAACCATGGTCTGCATTTTGTTGCTTCTAAAATATTACTTACCTAAATCCTTCTATGATACCCTACCACACTTTCTATACGAGCTGTCAAAACGTAACTGTAGCATTTTCCCACAATATACTTATTTCAAGTGGGATTGCTGAAGAAATCTTCATTGCAACTCCTCAGCTCTCTGAAACACAGATGAACTCAAAAATATTTCAGTTTCATAACAGTGCACGCGGGGAACAGCTGGCAAAATCCGTTTAAAAACGCTATAAATTGTCCGTTGCGACACAACGCACGCGCATCAGGGCCGATGGGTCGCGCTGACGTTGTCAGACGTCACGGTGACGTCACTGGTGTCAGGTTACGGGATAGGGATGCGCGGGATTGTATCGGTTATGGAGTCAGAAATCCAGGTGTGTTGACATTCAAATAATTTTGTTGTAAGTTTTTACCAAATTACCAGTACCAGTTAATTATAAGTAGAAAACACTGATAAAGACTATTCTATCAAGTGTAATTAAAGTGGAACATTAGCTCTTCATCCCATAAACCCGACCCCCACTACTGAAAACTGGCGTTGAAGAAAGGGTTATCACTTCTTCTCTACATCTTTTTCAATGTTTCCGGATCAATTTCCACAGCTTGTTGCTGTCACTCTCGGCTCTTATGTGGTCAGGTTCTACTTCCAGCAGCTTTTTTACCATTGGTAGATGTTCTTCTTTAACTCGATCCAATTTGTATGCGGTCAACTACAATATTGCTGACCAGATTTCTAATACCTATATTCTACGTGACATTTATGGCCAAGTTAAGTTGATAGAGTTATGAAAATATGGTGGAAATTCTGTAAAGAAATCGGTAACACAGCGCATCCCTACCTGCGGCCTTCTCGTATTCATTAAGGCCGGATAATTTTATCGCATGACGCGCTCGATATCTCTATCGCTCCGAAATAAACCGGTAATCGTTCGGAGAGGGCTTAGAAGCGGTTACTGGGTTGTACACCAGTTGAGGTGGACGCAGTAAGCTCGTCTCCATAACCATTTCAATCTAAGATTCAATCCCTTACAGCTACAACACCGAAATTAACATTAACACCTTTAGACAACTCTTCAAATTCAGCCTTAATCTGGTCATTCTACCCTTCTCAAAATTAGCTGTCTTTGAAAGTGCTGGTCACCAACTCAAGATTTGAGTTCTGCCCCAGCAGTAGAGTAGATTCCAAGTCATTTCACGTAGGACCGGTGTGCCTGTCTCAGCAAAACACATAACCCTCTCTAGAAGGTGATTAGTCTTTTTATTGGAGAACAAGTCTTCCTACCATAAGGCTATTCCAAGAGGGTAACAATAATACCCTTTTAGAATATGAGAAACTATGTTTACCCACGTAAAAACCTAAAAAAATATTGAAATGGTCCTCATAAAGTGTTTTAGCTCGTAGCACACAGATCTGCATCTGTAATGTTTTTACTTCTCATCAGCAAATATTGCTTTGTGGCTTTCTTATGATATTCCGGCATGTTTTTTCTCCCATTTCTGAAACCCCAATATCTGAACACATCTGCCAAGCAATGACTTCGTCAGAAGATTTACAGCTCGTAAAATTTTAACGTGAATCTACAAATCAACGGCTGCCCGCTCGTTATAACGTTTATTTGTATATCAACGGATGCAATTTAGTTAATTGTTTTGTGGGTTTTCCAATTGTAATACCTTTTCATCTTAATTATATTTGTACAAATTGGTTATTTGTATTTTAATTTAAGTATTATAAAGGGGAAAAAATTACAGTCGCACATAACTTTTGATATAAAAAGTTCAGTTAGTTCAGAAACACTGGTAACTGAAACATACCTAAATATTTTTTTTTTTGAGACCTGTTGAAGTCTATAGAAACATAATTATGATTTTAACTTGATTTTGAATATAAATAACTATTGAATAATAATTTAAGAGTATCTCTCCACAAAAGCTCTACCCATTTGTTGCTAAAAGGCGAACCTTATGCCTGGCACTGTGAAAAAGTTATCATATTATCTAATGTAGAGCTAAGCTTTCTAACTCTACCCTTGGTCAAAATTCGTAATGATTATTGTGCGTCTACAATTATTTCAATTTCTAGCCCCGACTATTTAAGAATGAAGCAGTTCCGCATGTTTTCCAGAGCGAGTCCTGCGACTCCGGCGACTGGGGGTGGTCGGGCCTGGAAGAGGCGGGGGGCGGCGGGCCGAAGGTGCCCGCGCTGATTTCCGCCTGCCTGGCCCACCTGAGAAGGGTGGGGCTCCACACGCAAGGACTCTTCAGGGTCTCGGCCTCCAAGAAAAGAGTTAGACAGGTGAGCTGTAGCTGTAAATACATAAGGGTGGCACAGAACCTCCTCAGTAGAAGTATCATAGTCTTCTAGTGACACCTCGCGGTTGTGTAGCAGTATCAGTTGTATTGGAAGACAGGATCAAAAAAAGTCAGATGAAATGTTGTGAACTACACATGAAGGATGGGGGAGAGAAAGAAAAGGTAGGTGTTATTAATTAGCGAATTTAAAAAGTCATAAGCATTTAAGATCGAGGATACCTAGTTAAAGCTAAAGGAGCACTCATATATTAAGCACAGAATTTATGGAAAAATCCCGTAGGTTAGGCTATTAGAATATAAATCAAATGTCCTCCTTACCTATTTCGACGCAGCTAGTTACATTGAAACAGTCTAAGCATAAGAGCTGTTGCTATGACAGAAAGGAGCTCAGAAATCCAAGATCCGTACTTACACCACCGCGGAAAACATTGACAGCCGAAATTAGATGTTTTCCCAAACGAATCGGCCGAGCAGTTGACCCAGAATTGGAAACAAACCTCTGACGTGGGCTGGCAAGTACTGGCAACACTGTAGCGAGGTTTGGGAAACATCGCCCGTTTATTGTTGATCGCACGTTCGCTGTGGTTTGGATACAAAGTGTGTTTACTTTACGCGATATGAAAAAGCGTGCGATTGAGCCATCTATAAAATTAAATTTAGGAAGGTAATGAGCCCGAGAATATTGTGTATTTACTCACTTATTCTCATCTTATGTTGTTCTTTATTTCAGTTTAGTTTCAAACAATCCAGTCAAGCGTAGAATTGCCGAAACTAAAGATTGCAACCCGGTATGTTTCTCAACCCGGCAGGGCTCGGTTGCGTATATTGGAAATGCTACTTCAGTATTTCTCCGCCGGCAAACACGATCAGAATTAGTATTTACTAACGATAAACACGCGTAAATGATGCTCCTATACGTCTCAGAGGGTGATCTGGTGTACCTAAAAGGGCACCGGCCCTTTGCAATATCAGTGCTACATGCAAACGTTTATACTTTAGTTAGAGCTAAGCGTCCACTTGTCGGTATCGTACGCAACGGACGCATCGTACAAAACACATCGTAACGGATGTGCGATGCGTACGATGCGGACAGGTGGACGCACTTATATGAGTTTCTATATAAATAATACTACGATCCGTTGCGTGCGATACGATGCGTACGATACCGACATGTGGACGCTAGCCTTAGACCTCCATTCTTTAAGTTTTTTCATTACAGAGAAAATTGTTAGATACTCGTTTCACAACTATTCCATATTCATTTCCAGCTACGGGAAGACTGGGAACGGGGCCAGGAGGCGGCGCTGGACACGGCGGTGTGCCCGCACGACGTGGCCACGCTTCTCAAGGAGTTCCTGCGGGATCTGCCCGACCCGCTCCTTTGCAGGGACTTGTACTCTGCCTTCCTTAATACACAGAGTGAGTTAGAGCTTAAATACTTTTTATTTACGGGACTATTCCCACCACTCTTACCCACCGCTGCAACTCCTGTGTAGCCAGGATAAAAACCCAACCAGTGAAGGTCAAGTTTGTCCTTTTTCATTTACAACAAATTACTGCTCAAGATTGCCACAAGTAAGTAACGGTTAAGGTCTTGAAACCTTGAATCTGTATTGCTGAATATCCTTTAGCCACACTTTATAGGATAATTATGAGCATTGGTTATAACATGATTTATGCACCCTTCGTGGCATGGGACGTTTTTCATACCGGACAATCACTTGAAAATGACATGGTATAACCTGTAATGTGAATTACAGAAAGACAATCCTTTAGTGCTCTAGGACAGCGGTTCCCGAAAGGTGGTCCGCGGAACCCTGGGGTTCCGTGGAAAGGCCGCAAGGGTCCCGTAAAAAATATTATCCCACGTTTCGTGACCGACGTTGTTCGCTCGCACCGACTTGTTTACGCACAAGGGAGGGGCAGGGCGTGCGGGCGGAGTAGTACGGGGGTTCCGTTAGGGAAAGTATAATCAATTAGGGTTCCTTGGCAAAAAAAATTGGGAAACCCTGCTCTAGGACACAAGCTTAGGAAATAAACGTTATTAACCCAGTGACAATCATGTCAGTAGCATGAGCACTGAACATTCATTCAACGCTTCAAATGAAAAGCTTTAGGTAGGATAAGTGCAAACTAAACAAATTTCCTTAGGCAAAGCTCTGATCCAGTAGTGAAACCAGCTTCAATATCCTTCCAGAAATCCGCAACCGCAGACTCCAGTGGGAAGCGCTGCGACTAATCGTGCAGCTGCTGCCAGCGGCGCACCGCGACACGCTGCACGCGCTGCTGTCGTTTTTAGCGCAGCTCGCAGCGCACGCGGACGACGCGGCGCAACCTGGCAACAAGATGGACGCTGCTAACCTCGCCACCGTGTTCGCGCCCAATATCCTGCACAAGAACAAACCCAACGAGCCCGCCAAGTGAGTCCCTGAGTCCTTGGACCTTTTATTATATTTTTTACATGTAGAAATATTTTGCACATGCCCCAGGCCACGGGGACAGCCAGGGGTAATGTGGGACTCTCCCCGCCAGAGGGATAGGGCCTACCCATCGAAATGGTATCCACTACCAGCGCGATATGAGGTGCACATAGGGCTTAAGGAAGGACCATGTTGACCAATATTTTTGGAATAAAGTTTCCAGTAAAACGGTGTTGCAACTCATTTTATAATGGGACCTCACCCAGCCAGCATGTTATAATCCAAGATGATGAAGACCAGCGCTATACAGGGTGTTTGGTAAATGGGTATATGAGCCGACACTAGCCCATGTTAACATGGGCATATAAATGGTATGGTGAAGTCAGAAAATCGATATCTTCATTTTATGTACTTTTTTTTCATACAAATCGGATTTTATAAAATTTATTTTGTATGAAAATTTAAAGAAATAAAATGATGATATCNATCTTCATTTTATGTACTTTTTTTTCATACAAATCGGATTTTATAAAATTTATTTTGTATGAAAATTTAAAGAAATAAAATGATGATATCAAATTTCTGACTTCATCATACCATTTATATGCCCATGTTAACATGGGCTAGTGTCGGCTCATATACCCATTTACCAAACACCCTGTATAGTACTCTCTTAACTTTTTTCTTTCTTTTTCCAGTGCAGAACAGCTGTCAGAACGCGCCGACGTAATCAACGTGGTGCGACAACTGGTGGAGCGGCAGACGGAGCTGTGGACGTTACCAGGAGAGCTTCTGCACGAAGCGTATATCCACATGTCGCATACCGCGCCGGCGCATCTGGACTCGCTGTTATTGCGGAGAGCAGAGTGAGTTCAAATTCAAATTGATTTATTTTGCAAGTAGACTTTTAAAAAGCCCTTTTACACGTCCCAGTATTACTTTAACAACACCTCTGCTGCAAGACCACAAATTGCCTAGTGTTGACAAGCAGCGCAAGAAACTCAGTCACTAGTGTTAGTAGCATTTGAAACAGTTCTATAAAGTAAAGGGAAGTGATTATAAGTTTGTAACGGTCGACTTTTAAGACATCTTTTATTTCGTAGAAGTTTAAAAGAACTTCGAAGGTGATGTTTTGATCCTTTTGTCTTTGAATTGGATGATGCGGGCATGTTGTTGTAGTAATCCTTGAGGCCTTCATCCAGCAATGGAGTCCTTTGGTTGAAACGAACGAATTATAATAGTAAATCTCAGCTCAGACAGTCCCGAAAACAAGTAGGTAGCTAGGTACTTTTTGGGTTTACAATTCCATAGAGTGTAAACTCTCTTTCGAAGCTAACTTTTATTTGGGGGAACTTTGATTGGGGGAAGCTAACTTTCTGCCAGATAAGTTAGGAAAAGCACGAAATTACGTATTTTTTTACTTTTCCTGTGTGTCCATACATAGGTAACGAGCAGAAGCGGTCGATAATGGAAATCCTTGGTCTTTGTCCAGTAGTGGACGTTCTTTGTTTCGCTTTCTTTTTTAAACGACTTCTTATGACCTTTATTTAATTCTGAGCTTTCGTCTCTAGAGTAAGGTAACATTCGAGCCAAGATATGCTTTCTCTCGGGAAGCTCTCTTAACCGCTTGAGTCCCAGACGGCATTAATTAATGTCATAACAATTGATTATCTATTGTGTCTAGATTCGCGGGCCTTGAAGGATTAATTGCCTCTTGACGTCTTTCTGTTACACCCTGTATATTATAATTCCACTGTTCCAGATGTGCGCCCGAGCCCGCTTCAGTATCGCTAAGCGGCGGCCCGACCGGCGGCGGGCGGCGGGTCTGGCCTCGGGAAATGTTCACGCACGGCGCCGCTGCCACCGGCGGCCCGGGCAACGTGGAATCGCCCAGGTAAACGATATCTGATAGTAACTGCGCTTCTAATAACTCCTGGTCTATTGCTTTATCTATACTAATACTAGCGGCCGCCCGTGACGTCGTACGCGTGGATCCCGTTTTATCCCCTTTAAATTTTTCCTGAATTTTCTTTGCTATAAACCTCACGGAGCCCGAGACCTTTCCAACGAATGCAAAACCGTGGAAATCGGTTCGTGCGTTCTGGAGTTATAGCGTCAGGGAGGAAAACCCGACTTATTTTTATATAGTATATTATAAAGAGGAAAACTTTGTTTGTTTGTTTGGTTGTACCTAATGCTCAAAAACTACAGGACCGTTTTTAAAAATTCTTTCACCATTCGAAAGCTACATTATCCACGAGTAAAATAGGCTAAATTTTATTTTGGAAAAAAATAGGGTTCCGTGGTCCACGCGCGCGAAGCCGCGGGCGGAAAGCTAGTCCTTTATATATGGCCACGTGTAAGCGTATTGGGATCTTTAGCTTCCTTTCCTTATTCCCCATAAAAAGTTTAGCCGACCAGAGATTAACTGCTTCCCTTCCATCATTTTAATAACCAGACACTTTCTAGCCGACGTTTGATGGCAGATTTTATGTGAAAACACATCTGTATTTCCATCCATTAAAAAGAAGAATATGCTGAAGACATGTCATCAAACTGATACAAGTCTGAAATGTATAAATTACCTAATATAGAGTATCTGAAATGGGCAGAGGTGGTTGTAAAAGGTTAAAATAAATACTTACATAATTTTGACCGAATACAGGCAGTATTACCACAATACACCTCATGGGTTTGATTGTAAATAACAACAAACCTATTTTTTGTTGATGTTTTCTTCATCTTCCAAATGCTGGAAGTTTAAGTTCTGGTTTTGATACGATTAAGTATAAACATGGTGTGTTTCCTCTTCCTTTAGGATGTTTTAATGTGTTTGCACAAACTTTTATTTAATTATTGTCTTCCAGCTTGCACTGAAGACTGCAATTTCTTTGCAGGTTCCTATACAGTTTAGGTCTTTGAGTGACCTTTCGCCAAGATATTTTTATGTGGTAAAACGAGTATTCGTCCATCCTCAAGCGAATTTGAAAATAGTATTTTAGAAGTCTCTTTCCAGGGATAGATTTCCAAATGGTTTCTTAATGGAACTGCCTTCTTTGGCAGGCGCAGTGAGAAATCATACTCACGGAGTCGAAGGACGCGGGAGACGGCGTCCGACACCTCGTCAGGATCTATGTCTTCCACCATCACCACCGTGCTGACCAGGTAATCCTGATTCCCCATAATTTGCAAGCACGTGTGGAGCCTGATTAGATTTTTCACACATTTTTTTCAGTTGCATTTTCTTCTGCTTAAATGGAGCATTCAGCCTTTTTGACACTCGTAGAGTGTTGATTTCTTTAGCATGTTTTTGATTTTATATCCTTTGGTTATTATTGTGTGCATGATTGTTGTCTTTAGTCTTTTTATATAGGTGTTGGTATTGTTTTCTGCGTATTAGTAGTCAGACCAAATGCTTGAAGCCCTGATTCCCCATAACTTACAAGCACGTGTGGAGCCTGAATTCTTTCGTTTTGGAAGCATCCAGCATTATTTTGAGGTGACATCATCGAAAACAGAATATTAGTAATGTGTTTTTTCACAGTCTAGTTACTACTAATAATCCCGTTAGCCCCTCGTACTAAACTACATATTATGCTTGTGTCACGAGTGGGCTTACCACAGTATTCAAGTGTCAGCGGGGTTCAAAACTGCGTTCCTCGGATAACGAGTCAGCCAGTCCAACCCTTTACCTTTCGACTATCGTGGCTTATCGTAGTTTGCATAGGTTCTTCAGAGAACTGCTCGCTTTCGTCATAGGTATACAGGGTGGAAACGATAAGTGATCTCATTCGATTATTTCTAAACTACACAAGATATCGACAAACTGATTACTGATCCTGAAAGTGCTTCACGAGCTCTTTCAAACGATATCAGTAATAGCCTAATAGGTTACAGAATTAACTGGATCTATCCAAAAATCCAATGTTTTCAGCCTCCATACTAAATGTATGTCACTATGCTAGCCACACAATATTAGAAGTGTTATTTTTTTCATTTTAAATAATAAACACTTAAAATTAACTCGTAAATTGCATTCTTATTTAAAATTATTAATGGAAAAAATTGGCTTTAGGCTTTACTTGCTATAAAATATTATCAAGACATGAGTGCCATGACTGTGCCAGTAGTAATTGTATGGAAGTTGGAAACATTGAATTTTCGGATAGATTCAGTTTATTTTATAACTTATTATTGGTACTGTTGGATAGAGCTCGTGAAGCACTTTCAGGATCAGTAACCAGTTTTTCGATATCTTGTATAGTTTTAATATCATGTGGTTTTACTAAATGTATGGAGGCTGGAAACATTGAATTTTCAGATAGATTCAGTTTATTTTGTAACCTATTATTAGTACCGTTGGATAGAGCTCGTGAATCACTTTCAGGAGCAGTAACTAACTAGTTTTTGGATATCTTGTATAGTTTAGAAATAATCGAGTGAGATCACTTATCGTTTCCACCCTGTAGATCGTTTCATCCACGAAGACGCGCCCGGCGCCCCACCAATATTTGATCGAGGGAAGCGCGGGGTGCAGGGAGCAATCCGAGCGTCATTATTGTAGTCGCTCATGGATAATTTAGCGTGTACCTATAACATTCAGATATTAGGGGAAGAATGGTAGGGCGCGTCGTCGTGGATGAAACGGTATACAGGGTGGATACGATAAATGATCTCACTCGATTATTTCTAAACTACCTATGTACAAGATATCAAAAAACTAGTTACTGATCCTGATACCAAATGTATGGAAGCTGGAAACATTGAATTTTCGGATACCTATATCCAGTTTATACTGTAACGAAAGAGCTCGTGAAGCACTTTCAGGATCAGTAACCACTTTTTCGATATCTTGTATCTTTTATAATTAAACGAGTGTGATCACTTATCGTTTCCACCCTGTATATGGTGCTGTTTCTTCCAACACTAGCAGTGAACAAGGAATATTATTAGCCTTATTAAAATACCTCGCTGTCTATACTTGCAGCAAGGCGGTGGTGGTGTCGGAGGGCGGCAGCAGCGGCATCGGCTGCACGCCGCACGCGCGCGACTCCGCGCCCGACTCCAATGATTCCGCCAGTGACTACAACGAGGTGAGCTCATCATCATCACCATCATTTTGGACACAGGATATCCACTGCAGAACATAGACCTCTAACCGTGATTTCCATATTCATCATCATCATCATTTCAGCCATAGGACGTCCACTGCTGAACATAGGCCTCCCCCAATGCTTTCCATGTTGATCGATTGGTAGCGGCCTGCGTCCAGGCGCTTCCCTGCTACCTTTACGATGTCGTCGGTCCACCTTGTAGGTGGACGTCCCACGCTGCGTTTTCCGGTACGCGGCCTCCATTCCAGAACCTTTCTGCCCCATCGGCCGTCAGTTCTGCGTACTATGTGCCCTGCCCATTGCCACTTCAGCTTGCTAATCCGTCGGGCTATGTCAGCGACTTTGGTTCGTTTACGGTTTCCATATTGAACGGTTGCAGTTGGTAGCGGCCTGCATCCAGCACTTTCTTGCTACCTTTATGAGGTAGTCACGCCACCTTGTTGGTGTCTCCCGCTACGCTTTCCGATACCTGGTCTCCACTCCAGAACCTTGCTGCTCCATCGGCTGTCAGTTCTGCGTTACTATGCCCCATTGTCACTTTAGCTTGCTTGCAAGTTTTTCATCATCATTTCAGCCACAGGACGTTCACTGCTGAACATAGACCTCCAACCGTGATTTCCATATTGACCGGTTGGTGGCGACTACATCCAGCGCCTTCTTGCTATCTTTATGAAGATGTCGATCCACCTTGTGGATGGACGTCCCACGCTGCATTTTCCAGTACGTGGTCTCCACTCTAGAACCTTGCTGCTTTATTGACCGTCAGTTCTTCGTTACTATGTGCCCATTGCTACCTTTATAGGTTGCAAATTGCATGTTTTTACGGGGCAAACAATCATTTTTTAAGTATGGGATACAAACTCATATTAATAATTAACTTAAACTTTTGGTAAGAATATGTTACATTACAAGTTTGAAACTCAATTGTAGAATTCTAAATTGACGCGGGCAAACCCAGACAGAGCTTCCAAGCTGGGTTGCACCATCTTACTTTAATTAAAGTATAACAAAAATCGAAAGTCTATCAAAACTCGATTCCATACAAAAAACACCGGTTATGGTTAATGTGGTGTCTTAAATAAAACACTGGTATATGTTCACTGTGTAAGCTAGTGCAAGCACTGACGTCCGTCCCGTGTGGCGGCCCGACTACGACTGATCCCCCACCGCGCCGTACTAGTCAGTGTTGCCATAGCGCATCTTTATTTGTGTAGTAGTACACCACAGTTAAAGTTACAGTTAACTTAAAGTGGTGCAACTCAGGCTAAGACTGCAGCCGTGGCTGACCAAACCAAAAGTTACTTATCATCACCAATCCATCATTCCAGACGCTCGGCGGCTCAGACGAGGACAGCTGCGTGATAACCGCCTCCCTCCACATCCCCGCCGCGTCGGTGTCCCGCGCGCGTCCCGCCCCGCCCCCGCGCCGCCGCTCCACCTCCGGCTCGGAGTCGTCGGCCAAACGCGACTCGGCCGTCGGCTCGTCGGGCGCGTCGGCTGTCGGATCGTCGGGTGTGGGATCGTCGGGCGCGTCGGCGTCGGCGTCGGGCGCGTCGTCGCCGCCCGCGTCGCCGCCGCCCGCGCATCAAGCGCCGCTGCGGGTCACGCTTACAGCGACGGGAGAGTTGAGGCGCACGCCTGATATTGACAGGCTTATCTCACTCGGAAGGTAAGAGACTTTTTATGGAAGCGAAAGAGAGCATGTGTTTAAACTTAATAAGCCTAGATTAGCTTCAATAGCAGAAGACCAGTTTCTTGAAGGGCTCTCGCGGAAGACCAGTTTCTTGACATGCCCTTACGAGCATGTCAATAGCAATACTGAGCGGGAGCCTATTGGCCCACTATTTTCTTTATTTGTTTTGTGTTGTTATTGTTTATAATTTGTGCTTACCATGATCAATAAATTAAATAAAAAAACATTGCTTAACTACTATGCGAGTTCCTCATCCAGGTCGTTTAGTTTCCACTGCAAGAGCACAACTCTCCTGAATTTATCAGTGCCAATCGGAGTATCTTTTTCCTTTGTATTTTGTTGCTATTCAGTGGGCTGAGTGCGAGTTTACATCAAACGTCATCACTAGTGAACGCGTAAAAAATTTTTTTTATGATCATTTTAGTTCTTGAAAATTTCCGCCAGGGGCGCTGTACAATCCGTCACACATTTAATGATATTTTTTTACGTGCTAACTAGTGACGACGTTTAAATTAAACTCGCACTAGGCCCCTCAGGTTGACAAACCTCAAATGGTGTCGAGGGTCTTGTCTCATCAGTGTTATGCAGAAGCACCATAGGGCCATGTGCTACAGGCGACTAGACTACTGGAGTAGCTTTCACAGGACCTCGTTAAAAACAACAGCAAAAAAAATGCCTAATAATCCTGATATGTAGGTGATTCAGCTTTATCCACCGAATAAAAATATTACGTATAAATTTTCAGAGAACGCAACACCTCGGACGCCCGAGCGGTGGTTCTCAGACAACACGACGAGACCACACACGTCAGGACGCGGGCCTCGTCGCGCCAGGAGACCGTCAGGAGAGACGAACAAACCGTCAGGAGAGACGAACAAAGTATTAGGAGAGACGAACAAAATATTAGGAGAGAGGAACACAGCGCTAGGAGAGACGAGAGGAAGGAAGGCACCACGCTATACAAACGGGGGGAGCTCATCTCGAGCGCTCAGTCCCCGCCCACATGACAGATTATATACGTGTTTTTATACATAAACGTCTATTTATCATTTTGTTGTTTTCTTCCAGCGATTTAGGTTCCATCTCAAAATTTTAAGAAAATTCGGCTGGGCAAAGTTCCTCCAAGCTCCCTGAAAAATATCCGAATGCTTGGTATCCTTTTCTGAATTTTATCCTACTATTTTTAATTTATTTTTCAAATTTTTTAGGGTTTTATGTCTCCCAGCCACCCTGGACAAAGTTATTACATACGTAGTTTTAATTTAGAAATCGATTCGCTCAGGCGTTTTTTGTTTGTTTGTAGTTACTTCCCTCGATAAAGCGATTTCGAAATTAAAACTGTCACGAAATGTAACTTCTTCTAGGGAGGCACGACAAAATAGTCAAGATAGTCAGGACTATTCCCACCTCACATTTCCACAGCTGGAACTCCTCTTAAGCCAGGATCTACAGCTAGACCGCCAACCAGTGAAGGCCAAGTGTGTCCAAATAATAAGGCAAGTGTAATAATAACAATTTTACTCCATGATCGTCCACAAGTTTGGTTCCTACTTCCTGTGCAGCTTGTCTCGCATGATGATGGCGCCGAGTTTCGACACGCCGTCCTGGTACTCTGTCTTGCCGAGAGGCGGCACTGCTGACGTTGTTTCTGAGAAATTAAAGATGACGGCCATTATCGTTGACGTTTCAGTATTTTTTTATAGAATACCCCTCTGAATTCTCCTCTCCTTAGTTTTTTATCAATTGATTTTACAGTACATCGACAATGGAGTAAATGCCGGTTGCAGACCGTAGCTCCGCCATAGCTCGCATAACTGACGCAGTTTTTCATAGTAGGTAGCTAGTAGCGAGCTATGTTAAACTAATTTAGCTTAGCTCTTAGTCTGCAACCTGCATAAAGCTTGCTTACACCACTCCACCATCACCACTTTCTAATCTCTAGAAGCAATGAATCCTAAGTAAGTGAAGACTCAAATATGGTAAGACTATGAATACCCTACAAATAATTTGACTCTACATTTACAACGTAAGCAAGTAACCTTTCTCAAAACCAACTCACCGCATTTGGCCCTCGGGTCGCTGGCGCCGCCGCCGCCGGCTTGCTTGGACATGGTCCTCGGAGCAGACTTGCGCGGCTTCGGCCCCACGCGGCACGGGTCTCCAGGCAGACGCATCGGCTGCGCGCACGGGCCCGTCCCACTCTCATCCGCGGCCCTTTGGAGACCCTCGAACTTAGCTCCGGGACCTGAGATACGAACAAACATTACATTAATAAAAATGTTACAATAATATAGGCTACAAATCCTATCATCATTTAGTAAGGGGACTGAATTGCTAAAATCAAGTGGCAGTGGGCGGGGCACATAGTTCGTAGAGACGACGATGGCCGTTGGGACGGAAAAGGCGACCACGGGCTGGAAGACGTAACGTGGGCAAACCTCCTACTAGGTGGACCGACGATCTGGTAAAGGTCGCGGGAAGGACCGTTCATTGTGGAAAACCTTGGGGGAGGCCTTTGTCTAGCAGTGAACGTCATTTGGCTGAAACGAACGAACGAAGGGGATTGAGCTTCATCCGCCACTTTTATTACAAAACGTTAGTTTCTTCTTCTCAGCACCAGCCGATATGTTGTCCCGAAGTTCAAATGTCAAGGTAAATAGGCCAAGGTCTAAAGCTATATTTTGGGACACGTAATAAGTGCCCTGAAATGTACGCATCGGAGCAATACAGATTTACATAAAAAACGACAACGTTTAGCATCAAGAATGAAAACACGCAACACAATCGACCAGCTGATAGCCTAATAAAAATGTAGGTAAACATCAGTAACTGTGTTTGTAGAGTACAGACGGATACAGGCCGATAACTTTCATCATCTCTTGAAAGTTATGGCTTTAGCCCTAGCTACACCTCATCCTCTGTCTATAAAGAGGAGGAAAGGTCATTGTTCTTAAGATATGCATTACAATTTTTCAGGCAGAAGTACGTGAGGAAAGTAGCATTTTGTTCGCCGATCCGGCGCCGCGAGTCGACCTTCAAGATTTCTGAAGAAGCGTCTGCGTGCGCAAACCTATGTTTCCCAAATTCTGTAGACGTCCAAACCTATTGTATCCTTTTATGTAAAGGTATGAAGTACAAAAATATTATTTTAGTAACGAGAAAATCAAAGGTATTTAAAAGTGACCTACTGCTCGGCCTCACCAATCGTGCTTTCTATGCCTGAGATCAGATGCTGAAGCCACTCTAGGTCACACCTTCCCCTTTCAAGAGACTGCACCCTATGCTCCAAGTTGGTGATACGTTCTTGCATGGCATCAGCCGTGGAATGAAGTATTTCAGTTGAAGAATTCAAATGAGCAAGCTCCTCCCCAAGGGTTCTGCTCTCCTCTTTGGCCTCGTTGGATTTACGTTGGGTGTCAGGAATGTCAAGAAAACGCCGACAATAATTGCAAATGTCACCGTCACTCGACGCGAATCTGCAGCCCGCACATTTGGGCATTTTGCAGAAGTTTGAGAAGCACTGGTATTTTTAAACAAACTATTGCGTGTATCCTGCGTGCGGCCCAACGACAGACTGAATTGGTATGGCATGGCTGAAAGACTGATCATAAACCGCTGTAATTTATGTAACCAAAAACTTAAACTGAATCTTAGCTAATCGACTACAGGGGCCATATTAAAGATGAGCTCTTGGTAATTTTCTTAGAACCTTACTTAATTCATTCGAAGAATACTTACATTTCATCTGGAATTTATGTCTAGCTCAGTCAGTCTAAGATATGTTAAATCTAAGTACACAAACAGTTCCCCAATGTAGTAAAAAGTAAATAAAGAGACTTGCCACTTTCGCAGTAGTCCACTTGGTAAGTAGTCTTGTTGCGATCTCTATCAATGCGCTGCTTGAGCTCTGGAGAGGCCTCGTTTTGGAGGATGCTGTACAGCATCGGGTATTTTGATTGAAGCTGTAAAATTATTTTCAAAATAAAATTAGATTTAGTCTTGTGTATCATAGACATAGTTCAGAAACAAAAGCTGGAAGACATTACTAGCTTGAAACAATTAAAAGATGATGGAAGAGAGAAAGACGTCTTGTTTTCATCAGCAAAGCACACCAGCCGAAAATTCTCCCTAATAAGGTAGGTAAATGTAAGAGTATGAAGCTTTTAAGTAATCAATACAAACCTTATCCAAGAATGCATTGGGTTGATCATATCTAGATGTGGGTGTTTCAGGGCTGGCTGCCACTCTTACAGGGTACAATTTAGGGTCCAGTAGAGGACCCATAATCTGAAATAAAGACAAAATTAAACATAAAATCAATTAAAAGAACATAAAAATATAGGACCTTTTTTAAACGTACCTCATTCCGGCTCCATCCTCCGTCTTTTCCCGGGGGAAGCTGCGGCATCTCCCCCCCAGAATACTGGGGGCACCGGCAATCCGGGGGCCTGGTGTGCTGCATGCATGCCTGGTAGAAGGCGAGCTCCTGCCCTGAGAGCTTTGGGACTCTTGGTGGAAAAGAAATGAGATTAGTATTTCGTTGTCGAAGTAAAGACTGTGCCTAAGACTTTTAACGGACGAAAGTTAAATTATAGAAAATTTGGATAAAGATTTTAATAGCAAAGCTACAACGCAAAATAAAATAAAAAAAATTCAAGATTTACAAATTGTGCCAAATTACGAAACCCAGAGCCAGAAACTTTTTTTTTCTGAATGGCAACTTCGCCAACTTCAGCTAGTTGAAAAAAAAAAAGTAATAAAAAGTTCTGAGCGGGTAGATTGCACTATTAAATTCTAAGTTATAAAAAGTTATTTGCAGTGTATAAGTGTTAGATTGAATTTTGACGAGGCATCCGTGTTGTTTAAATGTGTAGCATTTACAAACAAAATTGCGTCTCTGACTTTGTGTGACCAAGTTATTAATGAAGTTACTGAAAATGTGATACGTGGTTATTAAATTGATTTTAGCAATGTTAACAAGAATTGGAAGTGAATCACATACTCAGCCAGGCCTCCGCCGCCGCCCCCTGCCCCCGGCAAGTTGGGCCACAAGTAGTCCTTCCTGTAAGTTGTCAGGTAATGATCCATTGTTTTTTTTACTTATTTTCTTCTTTATGTTTCAAATTCAACATTACTACTGCTAATTTTGGGATTCGGTGGCCTAATTTTGGGCATAATTAGTAACTCTGCTGATTTGATTCATGGAGTAAACAGTTTTGGCAGATTTCAAATTTTGACGGCCATTGTCGTGTAGATTTTTGTCGATGGTTTAGTAAAAAACTATTGGATTTATGTGATAAGGTTTTATAGGTATGTGTTTATGCTTCTAGCCTAGGTCTAGGATTAGGCAAATGTACTGAACACCGTCTAGTAAATCGGTCTCAGGAGTCGCGGACCACCTTAATTATTATTACTTGATTTCTTGTCCCGAAGTGGCGCAAGGCTATAGCTACAAAGATTACAGACTTTTAGTGGGCCGATAGTTTAGTCGGGCTTCCAATTTGTTCGCGTATGAGGAGTCGGCCCACCGACACCAAATCGATGTAAGTAATGTGCGCACTTGCTGCGGCACTTGCCTACAATATGTATAATACTGATTAAGAGCCTAAACTATCAGTCGACTAAGTCTTTACGCCTGCGAGTTGTCATAAATTTAAGATGCAGCCGTCTGAAATGGGCCTAATTATATTAAAAATAGNGACGCGGGAGACGGCGTCCGACACCTCGTCAGGATCAATGTCTTCCACCATCACCACCGTGCTGACCAGGTAATCCTGATTCCCCATAATTTGCAAGCACGTGTGGAGCCTGATCAGATTTTTCACACACAATTTTTTCAGTTGCATCTTCTTCTGCTTAAATGGGGCATTCAGCCTTTTTGACACTCGTGGAGTGTTGTTTTCCTTAGCATGTTTTTGTTTTTATATCCTTTGGTATTATTGTGTGCATGATTGTTGTCTTTAGTCAATCTAGGTGTTGGTAATGCTTTCTGCGTATTAGTAGTCAGACCAAATGCTCGAAGCCCTGGTTTTTACAAGCACGTGTGGAGCCTGAATTCTTTCGTTTTGGAAGCATCTAGCATTCCTTCGAAGTGATTTAGTAATTTGTTTTTGCATATTCTATTATTATAATCCCGTTAGCCCCTCGTACTAGATAATAATATGCTTGTGTCACGAGTGGACTCACCACAATAGTGGAGCGTCAATGGAGTTCAAAACCATTCAAGAGCGAAATATCTACAGCGGATCATAAAAAATAATACCATTTTCCTGATTTCATGGATTTTTCCATGATTTTTTTTATATTTTTTATTGGCATCAGTGTTGAGTACCTAATATACTACCAAGATGGGTGTTGTTTTACAAAACCACACCCTGTATAGTGCTGTTTCTTCCAACACTGGCTGTGAACAAGGAATATTATTAGCCTTATTAAAATACCTTGTTTGTACTTGCAGCAAGGCGGTGGTTGTGTCGGAGGGCGGCAGCAGCGGCATCGGCTGCACGCCGCACGCGCGCGACTCCGCGCCCGACTCCAACGACTCCGCCAGTGACTACAACGAGGTGAGCTAGAGCCTAGCCTATAGTCCGGTCCCTGAGCACGTAGAATTTTGTCCAATGACCCCAAGCTCCCATCCTTATCGCTCGCGCGTAATTATATTGCTGTTGCGCTCGCACACTTACTGCTTCCGCCCGGAGCACAGTCGCGACAGCAATATAATTACATCATTTTTAGGTCCTTGGACAAAATTCTACGTGCTCCGCGACCAGACTTTAGTGATAAATACTGCGGATTCTCGCACATCGATTGGAGTCTTCCAAGGGACTGCCAAATGCCAAAGATATTATCATCATTCTCTACTTGTGCTTTAAATAATTTGGTTTTCACTGTAGGAGCACGGCCCTAGGCTCTCTTATTGACCAGAAGAAAAAAAGGGAGGACTTAGCCAGACGGGTTGGGGAGACCTGTTTCATATACTGTTATAAAATAAAGTAACTGCGGAGATTCAATAGAGTTAGCATTTCGGTTGGAAGTTGACCGTCACGATTTTCCAAAAATGTATTCGCAGGTCCACCAGTACACACAATAGTCAAATAAAAATTATTATCTTCTGGCTCTTCTGCTGGTATGCAAAAAGATTGAAAGTCGCAGCTGACCAGTCCCATAGTATTCGTTCGCTCGTTCGTTTCAGGAAAATGACGTTCACTGCTGGACAAAGACCTCGCCCAAGGATTTCCATAACTACCTTTCCTGCGCTGCCCGCATCCAGGTTCTTCCCGCGACCTTCACCAGATAGTCGGTTCACCTTGTAGGAGGATTGCCCACGCTAAGTCTTCTGTCTGACCTGTGGTCGCCACTCGAAAACTTTTCTGCCCCAACGGCCATCATCTCTACGAGTTATGTGTCCCGCCCACTGCCACTTGATTTAGAGCTTCTTCGGGCTATGTCAGTCACTCTGGTTCTCCTACGAATCTCCTCATTTCTGATTCGATCACGCAGGGAAACTCCGAGCGTAGCACGCTCCATCGCCCTTTGGGTGACTTTGCATTGGTACAAAAGGTAAAATAAAATTTGAATACGGTGAAAAAGGTGATGGAAGTTTGTATGGGGAAACCATTCTATGTATGTATGGGGCCATGCGGGTACAAAAACTATAATCCTCCGTGGTTGAGGATTCCGGGTGAAGCTCGCTTCCACCTTCGGCCTGATCATCACTTACCATCAGGTGAGATACAGGCCACGAGCTTCCTCGTTGTGGATAAAAAAAATACATTTATCTTTAGCTAAATAGTACGCGTTCAGTCATAGAATAGAAAAACGTCTCATACTACCAGCCTCTTCTTAGAATGTGCCGATTGTACAATGAACTTGCATTCTTGGATGATAGTCACCTGGATATCTTCGACCAAAGGAAACATGACCTTCCGAATGCAAGAACCAATATGCTAAAAGAGGCGCCAATTACCAGAACGTTGCGTACACTTAATGTAGTAGCTAGAACCGTTGACATATTCAGCTGTTCTTTGACTGAATTCACAAAGGTTACATTATTTATTTTATGTTATAGCCATAGCGGCAATCTTAATTGTTAAATGTACTAATTAATCTACTCTATCGCATTGGGGTAACCTGTAATGTTAGAGCTAAGATTGTTATTAAATAAATAAATAAATGAAACATGTCAAAGATGCCCTCAGTCAAGCTACCCATGACTCGTCATAAATAATGTTGAGGAACTCTTTGTTTTGTTTACTCTGCAGTTTATTAACACTTTCCGATTTATTTACCTACGAGTTATATTTTTTTGTACCTAATGCATGTAGGTATAACGAATCTGTGAAAACATATTTAGGGTTACATTTTAGTCTATATCTACATTTAAGTATTGTTTAAACCATGTAAAGAATGTAATCTGTTTTGTTTTCCAAATAAATAAAATAAATAAAATAAAAATAAAATTTTAAATTGCTGCCGGTGAAAGCACTGGCTGAAGCTTTCTCTTGCTAGACCTGAGTGGTCTTAAAATGAACTCATAAACCAATCTGTCGGCCGTTTGGTGTAGTGGCACAGAATAATAATAAGTACTACGTAGTAGTGGTTCGAAACGGACAACTATTCCGGAGGTAGCGGGTTCGATTCCCGCACAGTACAAACATTTGTGCATGAACATATTTGTTTGTATTGGACTGGGTGTTTTCTATGTATAATAAGTATGTATTTTCAAAAAAAAAGTATTTAAGAGCGTTGTAGCAAAAAGTTGGCGTTCGAATTTTAGGTTTTTATTGCTTGACGTCGCGTAGTGAGTGCTCAAACTGCATTTATCTGTACAATTTCAACGCTGCGTCGACTAAACGATCTTAATCCGTAGTTGTATCGTACCTAAGACAGTACTCATACATAATAATAAAGAAATAATATATAATTTAACTATTTGATTTTTCTCAGATTAGACTTTTAGCAAAATCAAGTTACGTAATTAATGTATTTTTTACACTAGTAAATCCCGCGACAAGTTTTTAATCTTTAAATTGAGTAAAGTAATAAGTTGATGGGTTTGAAAGAATTTATTTATGTTTTGTTTTATTCTTTTTACAGCATCAAAAGCTTGTTTATGAAAAATATTTACTATTTAAATTTTACTTTTGACTTTTTAGTTTTTATGATGCGGGATGGAAAAATTAAAATTTATTCTGATTTTGTGACGTTTCCGCACATAAATATGGATAGGTTAAATAAATAGAATGAAATGTATGAAAACAAGCGTGCCATTTTTTAAACGTTAACTATAATATCTGTGTCCATCAAAGAGCTCGTAACTAAACATCGTAAGCGCCATTCAAATTATTATCTAAAAGTTAATAATAAATATTTAGTTTTTGTAAATCTAAACAAGTCAGGAAATCAAAGAGGTAAATACTGATATCATTGTGATTTTATAGAATTTATTATTATAAACCACGGTCGTATAATGCTAAAAAATCAGAGGTAACTTTAAGATTTTTATCCATAGAGCAAAATTTATCTAATCGTGTTTTTAAACAGTTATCCCATTAGGTACACATGCGTTCTGTAATACAAACCCATCAAAAACAATACTTGTCAAAAAACCAAGTCTCACTACTCAGTTGTTCTACGGTAAAAAGTTGTGAGATCCATGTAATACCAAGTCCAGTCCAGGAAATCATTAACGTTTTACATAAATATATTGACTTGGCCATCGCATGAAAACACGTGTAAATTAAATTATTTAGTGCGAAATGAAACGAAATTTTGCATGCCTGTGTAGACATGCAAAATTTCAGCTCAATGGGAAAACGGGAAGTAAGTAAATTTTAAGTTGCAAGATTTTACAACTCCAGATGTCAAAGAAAATAAAAGCTTGTAGATAGCTTTACAAAGAAAAGAAAGATTTATGAAGAAAATAAAAAGTACTGTCTACGATACATTTGTTAGGCCGTGTTGCACCGTCTTACTTTAACATTGACATCAAAATTTTGGATGTCAAAAATCTGTCTAACATAAAACACCGGTTATTGTCAGTTAGGGTCAAAGTTAGGTGGTGCATCTCAGCCTTAGTGTATTTTAATTAAATTTAATACAAATAAGGATGACGAAAATAATCGATAAGTGATCTCACTCGAATATTTCTTATAGTAGGTATACAAGATGTCGAACAAATGGTTACTTACTGAAAAAGTGCTTCATGAGACCTAGCAAACGGCATCAATAAATGTTTAAGAACGAACTGAATCTATTCAAAAAACCTATATTTCCAGCTTTCATACATTTAATACAGTTACAAACAAATACGAAATCAATGGTTTCTGAGAATTCTGAGTGCCTTAATGCCGTCCCCTTTATCTGTTTATTTAGTATTTTATTAATTAGTGTAATGATTTTAGAATTAATATTGTATTTTATACGATTATTAGTTGCTTATAAATAGTTATTGTAATAATTTTGGTAGAATTTAAAAACCCATTATTAAAATTAAATACTTTACTTGATTACTTCCTGGACATTGTTGCAGATATTAGAATGGTTTTAGAAATTATTCTATATTATATTCAATTACATATTTCATGTTTATTATTTAACGTAATTATTTTAGAATTTTTATTGTATACAATTTAGTATTTTAGATATAAATTGTTATTTAAGTATTGATTTTGACTACTTCCGGGGCATGCTGTCGATAAGTCGTTTCGAGCCGGTTGACTTTGACGAATGGAAGGGGAAGTTGCCTTATCGCGGGCATGCCGCCGGACAGGCAGTTCGATTGGAGCATTCAAAGCAAGAAGTACTAACTTTAAGGTGTTATAATGTTGGAAATGTATAAATTAGTATCTTGAATAAATAAGTAATTGATCAACAAGTAACTTTTCATTATATTAGTATCTCTTGATGATATTGTAGCAAGTTAAACCTAAAATCATGTTTTCCGTAAATAATTTAAAAAAGAATGCAATTTACGAGTTTGTTGTTTGATTATTATATATTACTCAATTAAAAATTTAAATTTAAAAAATTAACACTTCTAATATGGTAGGTATGGCTGGCGGCATACATTTAAGTATGAAATTCGGAAACATTGAATTTTCGCGTCGTCGTCGTTTCAGCCGAAAGACGTCCACTGCTGGAAATTCGGAAACATTGAATTTTCGCGTCGTCGTCGTTTCAGCCGAAAGACGTCCACTGCTGGACAAAGGCCTCCCCCAAGGATTTCCACAAAGACCGGTCCTGCGCCGCTTGCATCCAGGTACTTCCCGCGACCTTCACCAGATTTTCGCATAGATCCAGTTTATTCTTTGACCTATTTATTGTTATTGTTTTATAGAGCTTATGAAGCACTTACAGGAACAGTAAACAGTTTCTCGATATCTTGCATAATTAAAAATCAAGTGAAATCACTTATCGTTTCCACCCTGTACCTATACTTTTAAAAATAAACTCATTTTATACGTTCATTTGTATAAGTATCTACAATACAAATACCTAACCAACTTAGTTGACGTTTTATAAAACTATTTGTATCTTCTTACTTAGAAATAAATTTGTTGTAATATTAGTTCAAAGTTGTGCCTTCGCGAGTTACCTGAAAATCGGGCTTTCGAAATTCGCTGTTTTCGTAGGCAAAAATCCAATTTGAACGAGATTTTGTCAATAGACATTCCGTAAAAACGTATGATAATTACGATGATATAAGTCAAAAGAAGCTATAACACTAAATTATATGACTAAAATCATTTCGAAATCTGCCAAATTCTCGATTTCTGCATGAAAAATGTGACAACGCTCTTAAGTATGTTTATATCCGTTGTCTAGTACCCATAGTACAAGCTTTGCTTAGTTTGGGACTAGAAGCGCAGTGTAAAATGTCCAAGGATTTTATTTATAATCCCACGATTGCAGACGCTCGGCGGCTCAGACGAGGACAGCTGCGTGATAACCGCCTCCCTCCACATCCCCGCCGCGTCGGTGTCCCGCGCGCGTCCCGCCCCGCCCCCGCGCCGCCGCTCCACCTCCGGCTCGGAGTCGTCGGCCAAACGCGACTCGGCTGTCGGCTCGTCGGGCGCGTCGGCTGTCGGATCGTCGGGTGTGGGATCGTCGGGCGCGTCGGCGTCGGCGTCGGGCGCGTCGTCGCCGCCCGCGTCGCCGCCGCCCGCGCATCAAGCGCCGCTGCGGGTCACGCTTACAGCGACGGGAGAGTTACGACGCACGCCTGATATTGACAGGCTTATCTCACTCGGAAGGTAAGAGACGTTTTTATAGTCTGGTCTGCGGGCACGTAGAATTTTGTCCAATGACCCCAAGCTACCCATCCTTATCGCTCGCCCGTAATTATATTGCTGTCGCGACTATGCGACGGACGGTGAGTGTGCGAGCGCGATAGCAACATAATTACGCGCGAGCGATAAGGATGGGTAGCTTGGGGTCATTGGACAAAATTCTACGTGCTCACAGACCGGGCTTTAAACAAGAACTACCCATCTATTGATCACAACTGTCTACAGCATTTTTGCGCACGGGTTATGCATAGCTTATTTTTATTGCTTTAATACCTAGAAATAAGAATAACAACAAAAAATTGTTCTGAATTTGCTTTTATGTGTAAAAAATAGAAAAATTCATATCAATGAATGTATGAAACATGAACATAGAGATGATTTAATTTGTTGCCAAATAATTTTTTTTCTTTCTTTCTTTCATTCTTTCTAATTATTAAAACATACCAAACATCCTTTTAAGATTTATTCTCACAAGAGAAAATTTAAAATAGAGTCCAAATATTTATTAAAAATGAGAAGTTCTAATTTCCTGTCATGTTCCATAGAAGATTTTTCTCATAAAAATCTAACTCTATCATGCTTTCAGTATACTGACCTTGGTAACGTTATCTCTCAAATCCCAGTATATTTTGATGAAAGCGTGCCCCTTGTTCTTGCGAATAAGCCCCCATAATTATCTTTAAACATATCCCAATGAGAATGTGGCGTGCATCTTTAGAGACATTCTACTATGAAGATGGAAAATTCAAATCGCTATAACTTTTTAAAAAGCAAATATTTTCGATTTGTAATCGCACTTTTTTATATAAATTTGCTTATATAATCAGAATATAATAAGTAAAATCCATGCGCAAAAAAAAAATTTTTTTTTGTCGACCGGTGTCATCTATCTAAGCAGTCGCCTATGACCCCATGGCTGCGTTTCCAGCAGGGATGTGCAATGAATGTGTTTCATGAACCAATAGAATCGTTTCATTTACTGAGGCGAGATGAATGAACCGATAATATTGGTTCTTTACACACATCTCTGGTGGAAACGCAGCCCAATACTTGAATTATTATCTTTCGACTCCATGCTTGAAGGGTTATGCTTTGTTTACAAGCACCCCTGTTTACAATTTCCCCAATTGACCCAAGATCATGTGTTCAGATCAGAACCCACCCGTGACACTTTTTTGTATCATATTTTTAGGGGTAGATCCAGAGTTGACGCCACCCATTTTGATTCACCCATTCTTGTACACCCTGTATTTTCGAGTGACAAATCAAGTATTCAAGTATTGTCTTTTTTTCTTCTCAATTGTTCTGCTCTTGGAAGAGCAGCCGTGTCCACGGTGGAACGGTGGAACGTCCATGACGGAAACGGCTCTCCGCACGATTTCCCGACATATCCTGTTGCCAGAAAACCTGGCCCAGTCAGTCAGGATTCCCATTCCCTTAAAGATAATGTCTAAAAATAATAATTCTTATCACGCGAATTTATTATATCATCATCACCTTTAGTCCCCTAAATATTAAAATCATGTTCCCTATAAATTACACAGTGTAGTAATTTTTGTATGTGCCATATGCCACCAAATATAATTTTTATACATACATTTTCAGAGAACGCAACACCTCGGACGCCCGAGCGGTTGTTCTCAGACAACACGACGAGACTACACACGTCAGGACGCGGGCCTCGTCGCGCCAGGAGACCGTCAGGAGAGACGAACAAACCGTCAGGAGAGACGAACAAAGTATTAGGAGAGAGGAGCACAGCGCCAGGAGAGACGAGAGGAAGGAAGGCACCACGCTATACAAACGGGGGGAGCTCATCTCGAGCGCTCAGTCCCCGCCCACATGACAGATTATATACGTGTTTTTATACATAAACGTCTATTTATCATTTTGTTGTTTTTTTCCAGCGAAGATTTTGGGTTCCATCACAAAATTTTAAGAAAATTCGGCTGGGCAAAGTTACCTTCAAACTCCCTGAAAAATTTATGCGAATGCTTGGTATGCTTTTTTAATGTTTTTTTTGCAAATTTTTAAGGTTTTGTGTGCCTCCCAGCCACCCTGGACAAAGTTACATAAAGGTACGTAGTTTTAATTTGGAAATCGCTTCGCTCAGGCGTTTTTTGTTTGTTTGTAGTTACTTCCCTCGATAAAGCGATTTCGAAATTAAAACTGTCACGAAATGTAACTTCTTCTAGGGAGGCACGACAAAATAGTCAAGATAGTCAGGACTATTCCCACCTCACATTTCCACAGCTGGAACTCCTCTTAAGCCAGGATCTACAGCTAGACCGCCAACCAGTGAAGGCCAAGTGTGTCCAAATAATAAGGCGAGTGTAATAATAACAATTTTACTCCATGATCGTCCACAAGTTTGGTTCCTACTTCCTGTGCAGCTTGTCTCGCATGATGATGGCGCCGAGTTTCGACACGCCGTCCTGGTACTCCGTCTTGCCGAGAGGCGGCACTGCTGACGTTGTTTCTGAGAAATTAAAGATGACGGCCATTATCGTTGACGTTTCAGTATTTTTTTATAGAATACCCCTCTGAATTCTCCTCCCCTTAGTTTTTTTATCAATTGATTTTACAGTACATCGACAATGGAGTAAATGCCGGTTGCAGACCATAGCTCCGCCATAGCTCGCATAACTGACGCAGTTTTTCACAGTTGCATGCAGTTTTTCATAGTAGGTAGCTAGAAGCGAGCTATGCTAAACTAATTTAGCTTAGCTCTTAGTCTACAACCTGCATAAAGCTTGCTTACACCACTCCACCATCACCACTTTCTAATCTCTAGAAGCAATGAATCCTAAAATTTGTAAGTGAAGACTCAAATATGGTAAGACTATACAAATAATTTGACTCTACATATTTACAACGTAATTAAGTAACCTTTGTCAAAACCAACTCACCGCATTTGGCCCTCGGGTCGCTGGCGCCGCCGCCGCCGGCTTGCTTGGACATGGTCCTCGGAGCAGACTTGCGGGGCTTCGGCCCCACGCGGCACGGGTCTCCAGGCAGACGCATCGGCTGCGCGCACGGGCCCGTCCCACTCTCATCCGCGGCCCTTTGGAGACCCTCGAACTTAGCTCCGGGACCTGATATACAAACATTACGATAATTTGGCTATAACTCGTTGTAGTATTTACATGGTATTTCACTTTGGTATCACATAACAAATGGAAGATGGTCAGACGCGGTGAGGAAGACGGTGGGCGGAAGCTTGCATCGTACGGTCCACACAGCTTATGACCGCAGTCTGTGGAGGAACACTACCTAATTATGTGGTCGCGATCCTCATCAGTAAGGGACCGAGGAAGAAGAGAACACATAATAGGAATTTTGTTTTCATAGGAGTAACTTAAAATTAGGGATTGATGGTGAAAACAGGCATAAGTTTCTTCTTCTCAGCACCAGCCGATATGTTGTCCCGAAGTTCAAATGTCAAGGTAAATAGGCCAAGATCAAGCTATAATATTTGGTACGGGTAAGTGCCCTGAAAAGTACGAATCTGAGCAGTATCCGGAGCACGAATAAATATCGTTCCCGTTAGGGTATGGTTATCGTATTTTTGTACAAAAAACCAAACAGCGCCGGTTGTATCAGGAATAAATACGATTACTAGACAAGAGTCATTCGTGCTCACGGCACGGTACATTTACATAAAAAACGACAACGTTCAGCATCAAGTATGAAAACACGCAATACACAATCGACCAGCTGATAGCTTAATAAAAATGTAAACATCAGTAACTGTGTTTGTAAAGCACAGACGGATACAGGCCGATAACTTTCAATATCTCTTGAAAGTTATGTATTTCTGTGATACCTTAGCTAGACATTATCCTCTCTCTATGAAGAGGAGGAAAGGTCATTGTTCTTAAAACATGCATTGTATTTTTTCAGATAGAACTACGTGAGCATAATAGTATTTTCTTCGCCGATCCGGCGTCGCAAGCCCGACCTTCAAGGCTTCAAGCTAACCGAAGAAGCGTCTGCGTGCGCAAACCTATGTTTCCCAAAATCTGTACCTAGACGTGCAAATAAAATGTATCCTTTTAAGTAAATATTACAAGCAACAAAAATTAATATTTTAGTAAAGAGATAATTGAAGTTATTAAAAGTGACCTCACTGCTCGGCCTCACCAATCGTGCTTTCTATGCCTGAGATCAGATGCTGAAGCCACTCTAGGTCACACCTTCCCCTTTCAAGAGACTGCACCCTATGCTCCAAGTTGGTGATACGTTCTTGCATGGCATCAGCCGTGGAATGAAGTATTTCAGTAGAAGAACTCAAATGAGCAAGCTCCTCCCCAAGGGTTCTGCTCTCCTCTTTCGCCTCGTTGGATTTGCGTTGGGTGTCAGGAATGTCAAGAAAACGCCGACAATAATTGCAAATGTCACCGTCACTCGACGCGAATCTGCAGCCCGCACATTTGGGCATTTTGCAGAAGTTTGAGAAGCACTGGTATTTTTAAACAGACTATTGCGTGTATCCTGCGTGCGGCCCAACGACAGACTGAATTGGTATGACATGGCCGAAAGACTGATTCATAAACCGCTGTAATTTATGTAACCATAAACTTAGGCTGAATCTTAGCTAAGTAATCGACCTAATGTCCTGAACTGATATAGAGGCTATGATAAAGTTCATTCTCGAAGATGACTTACATTTCATAGGACTCTAGTGTTTAACTAAGTCAGTCTAACTAAAACAAATATACACAAACAGTTCTCCAATGTAGTAAAAAGTAAACAAAAACTTGCCACTTTCGCAGTAGTCCACTTGGTAAGTAGTCTTGTTGCGGTCTCTATCAATGCGCTGCTTGAGTTCTGGAGAGGCCTCGTTTTGTAGGATGCTGTACAGCATCGGGTATTTTGATTGAAGCTGTAAAATTATTTCCAAAATTAGATTCAGCCTGGTATACCATTGGTAAATTCATAAATACCTAAGCAAAAGATCGAAAAAAAAAAATAACCGCAGATTTAGCAAAGACAGTATGCTATGAATCAATCAACATTTATTTACAAACCTTATCCAAGAATGCATTGGGTTGGTCATATCGGGATGTGGGTGTTTCAGGACTGGCTGCCACTCTTACAGGGTACAATTTAGGGTCCAGTAGAGGGCCCATAATCTGAAATAAAGACGATATTAATAATAAAAATCAATTCAAATAACAAAAACATAAAGGAGCTTTATTAAATGTACCTCATTCCGGCTCCATCCTCCGTCTTTTCCCGGGGGAAGCTGCGGCATCTCCCCCCCAGAATACTGGGGGCACCGGCAATCCGGGGGCCTGGTGTGATGCATGCATGCCTGGTAGAAGGCGAGCTCCTGCCCTGAGAGCTTTGGGACTCTTGGTGGAAAAGAAATGAGATTAGTATTTCGTTGTCGAAGTAAAGACTGTGCCTAAGACTTTTAACGGACGAAAGTTAAATTATAGAAAATTTGGATAAAGATTTTAAATAGCAAAAGCTACAACGCAAAATAAAATAAAAAATTTTCAAGATTTACAAATTGTGCCAAATTACGAAACCCAGAGCCAGAAACTTTTTTTTTCTGAATGTCAACTTCGCCAACTTCAGCTAGTTGAAAAAAAAAAGTATTAAAAAGTTCTGAGCGGGTAGATTGCACTATTAAATTCTAAGTTATAAAAAGTTATTTGCAGTGTATAAAAGTGTTAGATTGAATTTTGACGAGGCATCCGTGTTGTTTAAATGTGTAGCAGTTACAAACAAAATTGTGTCTCTGACTTTGTGTGACCAAGTTATTAATGTAGTTACTGAAAATGTGATACGTGGTTATTAAATTGATTGTAGCAATGTTAACAAGAATTGGAAGTGAATCACATACTCAGCCAGGCCTCCGCCGCCGCCCCCTGCCCCCGGCAAGTTGGGCCACAAGTAGTCCTTCCTGTAAGTTGTCAGGTAATGATCCATTGTTTTTTTTACTTGTTTTCTTCTTTATGTTTCAAATTCAACATTACTACTGCTAATTTTGGGATTGTGCGGCCTAATTTTGGGCATAATTAGTAACTCTGCTGATTTGATTCATGGAGTAAACAGTTTTGGCAGATTTCAAATTTTGACGGCCGTTGTGTAGATTTTTGTCGATGGTTTGGTTAAAAACTATTGGATTTATGTGATAAGGTTTTATATGTGTTTATGCTTCTAGCCTAGGTCTAGGATTAGGCTAACCGCTGCGTTACAAAGCGTACGTGATAAATGTACTGAACACCGTCTAGTAATCGGTCTCAGGAGTCGCGGCGCTAACCACCTAGGTACTTGATCTCTTGTCCCGAAGTGGCGCTCACCCCGCAACAATATTTTTAGTCGGCTTCCAAATCGACCGATACCAAATCGGTGTAATGTGCGAAGTGCGCACGTTTAATAACACTAACAGCCTGACCAAACTATTTACGTCTGCAAGGTGTCTTATATTTGGGAAGTTTAAGCGCACTGAAAGGGTCTAGGTAGTTTCAAATACTTTTGATTTCAAATAAAAATCAGTCTTTAGCAAGAACATATTTATTCAGTCACAACAGTCAGAACAGTCAGATCCTATAAGTGTACATGTAGGGGTTCTTCCAGCGTCCATACTTGGGCTCCTCACGCGGGGACCCGAAGGGGCGGCGCTCTAGCACCACCGTGGCAAGCAGCCCGTGGCTGGCGCCGTATGACGTGTCGCCCGTGCGCACGCGCAGGATGCGACGAAGCTCCTCTGGAAGAAAAATCATTGAGTTGACTTTTATGACATTTTGAGAGTCGACAGCACGACAGGCTATACACATTTTAGGTCGTATAAAAACAACCCGTTGTCCATTGTATTGGTAGAATGTAGAAACCGGCGTCAAAACGTTCTTACGCGCCGCGACAGAGCGTTGCGTACTGCTAGCGCCGACTCTGTGTTGGGACATGAAACTATCCACATTCTACCTACGCCATTAGGCTATATGTATAGCACGAAGTTAAGGTTCGGCCAAACCAACGTGTGCAGCTTGCGTACGCGATGGTGATAAACTGGCTAACATTCTAGCGGGCGCTAGGTACGCGTTCTATTGAGCGAAACTTTTACTTAAGACAGGACAGGCTCTATCAGACCTCAATCTATTGCAAGTATTTGTGAGCGAGAAAGGAGCGAGTCCAACCAAAGTTATAGGTAGTCGATAAACTAGAACAATCAGCGTCAAATAGTGATGTGTGTTGTGATGTGGGTGACACCCAAGGTAGCCAAAAAGTTCGCAACACGTCTTTGTTACAATGAGGGCTATCGTTTTAGCGCTCACCAGTTAGCGCCACTGTAGAGTAAGGTCCCGTCACTTGCTAGTAGCGAAGACAGTGGCACCAACTGGTGAGCGCTAAAGTGGTAGGAGGACTATCGCATTTGCACTCATCAAGATGGCGCCACTGTAGAGTAAGGTCCTGTCAATCGCCAGGGGTGCCAACTGTTAAGTATAATAACGATAGCCCTCATTGAAATAAGGTTGTGTTGCCACTTGGGTGTCACGAACTATTTGATGCTGACTGTTAATTGGTAACAAGATACCCTCACTTACTTTGCAAAGAGTCGTCATACTTCGGCCGCATCGACATGGACTTGGGCGGGTCCGCGTACTTCTCCGGCTTGGGCGGGCGGTACGAGCCTCGCTGGCTCGTGTCCGGGATGTCTATGTCGTCGGGTAGTCGTAACGTTTGTAGCGCACGCGCACGCCGCGCGAGATTCACTGACATGAAGGGTAGCTCTGGAAGTAACCATTTTAATGTTGAGTAGATTTTCCAAGCTTTGCTGTTTTCGAGTTACTCTGTCAAAGAAAAGAAGAACGCAGTAGCAGTTCTTTCGATTTTTTGGACTTCCTGATAGGTTTAACTATTTATTTAAACCGTATAATAGTAGTAGGTATAGGTATTTTGATAGATTCGTAGCTTCCTGACTCCATAGAATATAAGGTAAGCGCAGAGAGCGCCAAAATTGTTAGTAGATAAACTAAATGGTAAATCATTCCTCAACTTCATGGAATAAAGGTGAGCGCCGAGGGCTCTGCTAATCATAGGCCTCTTTATGTTCGTTCGTTCGTTTCAGCCGAACGAAAGACGTCCACTGCTGGACAAAGGCCTCCCCAAGGATTTCCAATCATTGGGTAAGTAGTCTAAAATGTACGAACCTCGCGAGCAATACTTCGTGAGGTACTCAGTCCGTTTTAGATCTTGAATTTCATGCTCAATTGGAGTTGGATCGATGTCTTCCGACATGTACATTTTAGTCAGCTTTGGGTGGTCTTCTGCAAACTACAAACTGATTTTAATTGAACGACTTAAAACATTTCAGTTATTTCCTATAACTTCAGTTTAAGCGAAAATATAGCTAATGAAGTAGAACCAAAGGGAAAAAATTAAGAGAAACTAAGCTGTGCAAATCCTAGTTACTCCCAATGCTACAATAAAGAAAGAAAAAATATTTATTTGGTATTTTACGAATAAAGACGACCTGCAAATCATTTGCATGGGTACAGGCAATGTTTCTAATATTCCTGTGGGTTATCCCCATATTCAACAGTGAAACGTCATCTTAAGTAAAGTAATACCTTACCCTGTCCACAGCCTTCTTGTAGAACTCATGGTCGATAGGGCAAAGCACGTCCGGACAGCGCCGCGGCGCGTCCTTAGCTTTGAGCGCGTCGCGGCTCAGGCCGACGATCAGGCAGTTGTCGTCGATCGCTTTGCGACGCGGACTTTTACTGGAGATAGATAATTAACATGTAAACCAAAAAAACGAAACAAAACTTATTTGTAAACTCAAAATTTGTTACACCATCATTATCATTTCAGCCACGTTCACTGCTGAACATAGGTCTCCCCCAATGATTTCCCTATGGACCGGTTGGTATAACGGCCTGTATCCAGCGCCTTCCTGCTACCTTTATGAGGTCGTTATCGTCGAGAATTTGTCACCACCCACTCATTAATCAAATCATTAAATAATACTAATTAAACTAGGAAATTTTACTATGATTAGAAACTTTAGCACATACTTTAGAACTTTAAAAATAATGATACAAAATATTACTTACGGTTTATTTTTCTTGGCAAAGTCGACCATATAGACCGACTGGAATTCGATCTCTCCATCGAATACAGACATTTTAAAAGAAAATAGAACAAAATCAGGTACAAAAATTCTCAACACTATTTCTCACATAAAGTTAACTGTCACAAGTCACAACACAGCAAATGCAGTCATTGTCATTTTTGGCATAAAAAATAATTATCGTTGTCTTTTTGTATGTAGATCTCTATAAAATAAATAGGTATTTTTTTCTCTGAGTACTTTGGAGTCTAGAAACTCGAGAGCACTTCTAAATTATAGGGGTTCCTTTGTATACGCCCTATTCAATATTTCCTGGATTCTAGAACAGATAATTTTGTTCTTATTATGAACTGTGCAATACTTTGGTAAATGGCTTCTAGTTTTGATAATAATCTTGCTGACTGCAGTGGCTGCCAAAGAAAGGATGTTGCGGCTGAATCTGGACTGGTATTGTATCAAATTGAGGATTGAATTGCATTTGCTGAAGCAGCATTCCACCAGACGGAAGACTGCCCGGCCACATTGAGGAGCCTGGCCAGCTATATAATCCTTGATCTGGTAATGTAGGAGTATGAGGCGCCCTAGGACTAGCACGAAGTCGTCCTTCAGTTCCTTCATCGCTTCTGAACCTTTTACTGTTTTTGCCATCTCTCGCAGTCTCACCCCTGCCCAGTGTTGACCTTGGTGGATGCCGTTGACGAGACGTGTCTGGAGTGATTCTCCTTGAATCTTGTTTTCTGGCCACTTTTTGTTTGTACGAAGAAGTCGATGGTCGTGTTGATTCTTTTGATGTGTGGTCGTGCTGATGCTTTTCATATACCGACGTGCCCTTGTTAATACTAAAATTTATGACTTTAAATCCAAGGACAGCCTTTCCTTCCGCCTCCTCGAGAGCCTCCACCGACGCGTCGTCTAGTGAGAAGGCTACTTGAAACGCACTCCCGTCGGCCTTCTGGCGGAGTATCCTCCAAAACTCAGTGTTAAGGCCCTCATTTTGCACCCGCAGCAACTTCAAAGCTTTTTCGACTGTGTCTGCTTCACTGTTGGGCAGGTAGGTGTACGCAACATGGCGCTTCGGCAGGTTTCTCTCCAAGATCGCAGAGAGTTCCGCCTCAGGCCACGGCTTTATGTTAGCAACTTCTTCTACGAGCCAGTCGTGGCTATCCTGGTTGACACAAGTCACCACAATCCATCCTTCCTTGTGAGTGAAGCCAGCAAATTTGAGCCCCACTCCATTTCTCTCGATAGACATTAATAAAGCCTGGTGAACGAGCCGCATCTGCTCCTCACTCATTGGTATCGAGTTGCGGATACCTACTCTAGAGGGACCTGCTGCGGCATTTTTTTTCGGCTTGGGCAGGTTTTGGTGGTGGTGTTTCGTTGGTGGAGGTGATGATGACGGTGGTGGTGGTGAGGGTGGTGGTGCGGTATGTTCCACCTTGGTCATTTTCTTGGGCTTTTCCTGTTCAACTCTCTTAGATTCTTCAACCTCCCATTGAGAGCGCTTTTTTGCTTTTGCCTTTGGATCTGGAGGCGGTTTCTCAATCGGGATTTCGCTCCAGGGCTTTTTACAAAGAGCTAGGGCCTCTTCCTTGGGCATGTTTGTCGCAGCAAGCCTCCTGAACCTTTTTCTGGCTGCTCCACTAAGCCTTTCGGTCTTGCGAACGGCTTGGCCTCCTGCAGGTTGAGTCGTGTTGTTTGTGCTGGTCGACGTCACAGCAGACGTTTCTCCCGAAGAAGATTGAGGTATGTTTTGGTTATCGGATTCAGAATTCATGATGTTCCCACGAGTAGCTAGGGAAGTAAACGGTCACCCTCGGCAGAGCCCCGCATGCCGAGGGAAGAGCTAAAATACTGCACCGAATCGCTCTGGTCTCGGGCAGGCACCGTTAGAGACTGAGCTCCCTCTCAGCCACGCGTTCCTCGGCACGGTTCGCATCACACCTTGAATTAGGGGGAGATTACGCATGGTACTTTCCCAAGGTGACCATGGCCACTCTTTCTGAGGTTGAGAACTCAAGGCTCGTGGTAGCCTGGGAGGGGCAGGAAATCGGGATAAGGATGGGAGGGGTGTTAAGGAAGAAGGGATACGTCTGACTGTTTTAGTTACGTCTGTTTCTTAAGGAACCAGACCAAGAACAGGCGGCAACCACGAGAAGGACAACAGCCAGGCTTGCCTTGAGGATCTACACGACCAGCGCTCTCTCTCAAGGCCGACGCCAAAGCAGCGGCCGGGACAGACCGTGCAGTGAGCGAAGTCACACTGCGTTGCATGTCTTACGTCGCGTGATGAAACGCATGCCTTCGCTCGCCCAAAACGCTAAATACCTTAAGATATCTCAAGAAAAAAACAGGTTCCATATAAATCGTTTCACTTTATTTAAATAGACGTTACATTAACTATGTGCATCTAACAAAATATCTTTCTTTATAACAATACACAAATTATAATTAACAATTTACCGATGATGAAACTTATGCAATACATTCGGGACAGAAAAGTTAAAAGAGAAACTTTTTTTAAACTAAATTGTGCAATTAATTAGTTTCATGGCGTACTTATAACTCAAAGTCTGTTTTATTGACAAAATTAAACGAGATTGTATAACATAGCTTCATACTTTTTAGAAAAAAAGCACAATTCTCATGATCTTACATAATATTGTTCGAATAAAAATCATTTTCTGTCCCGAGAACTTTATTTATACACAAAAACTTAGAAGGCACAGCCTCTGCTTAAAAATATAATATCGATGTACAATGCACATACGACAGAACATCAAGCTCAACTCTGTGGCATCTTAGCTGTAATAGGTGCTAAAGTCCGGTCGCCAAGCACGTACAATTTCGTCCAATGACCCCAAGCTATCCATCGGTAAGCTTGGGGTCATCTGCTCGGCAACCGGAATTTATTATGCAACAAAAAGTATAGTCTCATGTGCTGTCGATTGTACATTCAAGACAAATAGTAGCAAATAAAATAACTGAAACTTTGAAAGATTCTAAACATTTGTTGACTATCTACTCATATTAGTCTATACATTTTAATGAAATGTCGAAATAATTTAAGCATTGACAACTTAAAAGTTTGTTAATTCAACAAACGCCTTGAATCAGATAAAAAAAAAAGACAATACTCTCTAATGTTATTGAAATCAATAAGCTCGATAGCAATTTATAAATCTTTGAAATTATTTACAATGTTTTAAATTTTTAACTTTCACGCCGAAAAAATGTTAAAACGAAAGATGATAGATTGACAAAAATAAATTACAGTTTTACTTACATATCGTTAAACGGTAATTTTGCCATAAAATATAAACTAATTTAATGTGAAATATAAAATTCGTGATAGGTAGGTACTCTAATTAAATCAATCAAAGAAACAAGTGACAGTTTAACCAATTGCTTAGCCAATGCTGTACATAAAGCACTTTTTAATATAAAACATTTATACATATTCTGCGCTCAATTAATTATATATCTATATACAATAACCCTACTCTCAGTCGCATACAGCCTCGCTCTTATATTTTACAATTTATAACATTCCTTAAGCCGTTTATTTGGTCTGTTTTAAAAGCAGACGTCAATTAGGCTTTTTCAATAGCAGAATTGATATTTTGAACTCGATGGCTGATCGTTGTAAGTAGGAAAACTGGCATCCCTGGTTTTTTGTAGCTGGCAACATTTAAATTGTCTTTGGTGCGCCTGGTCAAACAAACTCTTTTGATTAAAATCAAACCGTGCCATAGACTTTCCTCGTTGTTAACTAATTTATTAAGGTTTTACGCACCGAAAGTGCTAAAAGGTTAGCTTAATAATTTAATAAGCAATAGCCACCGAGTTCTTATTGCGAATTACCAACAAACATGAGTCAAAAATTATAGTTTATTGTATAAACTCAAACTTGACTGTTCAAAAACGTACAAATATTTCATATTCTCTCTAACTACTTTAAATATACTCATTTCCTTCAGTCAAAACCCATGATTTCTTCAGCCTTCATGCAAACGATGGTACCTTTCCATTGACATGAAGGCCCAGGCCTTAGTCACTAAGATATTAATAAGAAAGAGAGAACAGCTGACTGGAAATATTTAAATAAACTAATGATAATGTTAGTAATTATTTGCTATTGTGCTGTTTTAAATTAATACAAGATGGTCTACAAATTGGACAGTGATAAATAAATATTAAGTGGAAGAAGTAAAACTAATGATGATATAAAAGGTATTTTAAGGAAAATACTGGTTAAAAACTTAAAACTATTACACACACGATGATACAGGATGATTAATGATGATTAATAAAGGATAAATAGAATAAACATATTATACCAGCCCCCCTAGACAAAACGCACTTTTTGATCGAATCGAAAATCGAATCCGTCAAAACTCCATACAAAAAAGGGGCTTTTCGACCACTTATCGACTGGTTTGCGATTATAATTTGCACTTTGTCTAGACCCACAGTACACGCTAGCTCAAGGTCGACTATTCAAGTGCCAATCTACAATTTTAGCCATAGAGTAAGTTTGACATTGTTCAAATGAAATTAATGACATAATTGTCAAAGATAATTTATGACTAAATTGTTTGGCAGTCAAAAATCGGCTATTAGCCTAAAGATATTTTTAAATGAATGACGCTTTTAATAACTGGTATTAGGATTGTTTAGTTTTGGCTTGATTGAACTTGGCACTTCATATACCACTTTTATAGTGTTTTTTATATCTTTAAAATAAAATGTATTGAGAAAATTGAAATGAAAATGGCACTATAGGATGTTATGAAGATTTCGAGACGTTAAAATATTTAAAAACAAACCAATGACCTTGATTTTAAAGTAGGAGAGAAATGTTGCACAACAATGTAAAATGTCTCTGAAAGTTCTGACACATTATTTTCAAAGGGAAAATTAAATTTCCTCCTGTCTTATGGTTTCATTCATACATTCAACTAGTAACGTGAAAAAGCTAATACATATTCTATCCATCTCTAAAACCGACGATTCGAAAGAGACGGTAACTATTACACGATTAGTGATGTGCTGAACGTTTTAATTTTTTTATGAAAAAAGTTAAAGAACTTCGTCAAAACAAAAATTTATCTGAACCAAATTAACACAAAAACATTGCTCTACATCCAACGTGGTCATTACGATAACCAACCAAACATGTTTAATTGCATTGATAACGTTTATTGATAAATACTTATCTACTGTTTGCAAATTCAATTACAATAATGTACGACTGATTTGCATTAAAAACTACAGTTTTGAGATCGATTGCTAAGTTACAGGTTGTTCGGCGATCAATCTGTCTTTCAACATATGTACAGTAAAATTATTTATCGATCAAAACTGGTCTGCAGTAGTCAATTCGGCACATCACTACGAAAGTTAATGAAAAGTGATTCCATGGTGAAAGTCAAATGTCAAACCGTAATTTAATGGATCGTTTGGTAACAAAATGTATCATTTTGTGGGTTTTTAAATATTGTTTTTTTTTGGTATTCACTATTATATCTGCTCCTAAACATTTAACTTTTTCAATTCAATCCAATTTATGTTTACAATTTGTAACCAAACAACACCAGATAAAGTTCAAACTTCTTTAAATCAAATGAATGAACGAGTCGATATTCATTCATTCATTCATTTAACACCGAATGATAACAGATAAACTTCATAAATACAGAATGAATGAACGCAAACATTGCGGTTCACTCGTTCCATTCACTCTATCGAATTGTCATCGCCTTACCACGGGACAGTGGGGTGCCGTCAGTAGCTTCGGCGGTCGCCCTCGCACGACGAAGGGGTCCGCTGCTATGGCACCCGGAAGGGCACCACCAGGTCCTCGTGGTGTTCCACACGAAGCTCGGAGATGGCTGCCGCCGCTTTCTTGACGGCATTCGTTATCTGTAAATGGGAGGTTGATTCGATGATTTCATTGACCTTTTAGGCGTTATACAGGAGCTGGTTTTTAAGGTTTAGGCTTGAGAATTTGAGTTGATTTAGAGGTTTTACTATATCTATGTCTAACCTTTCCTTCTTTATAAACGCAAAATGAAAATATGTACAAAAACCTAGACGTCACTGAAACGTCACATCTATAGTTTAAATTCTGAGATGAAGCGTTTAAAACACACATAATTTGTGACCCCAAAGTAAATTCAAAGCAACTTGTGAGTGTCTAATCGGCGAGAAGGTAATGTTGAGCTCAAATAGAACAAAATTCTGTAAGCCAACTTCAAATTCCTAAAGTGATTTGTTGGTCTAGGTTTTTTTACTAACTTATTATGTGGTATGGTCTTGTTCTTGATAACAATCCTAGCTTGTGAAGGATGACTGCGTTAAGCACGCTTTCCACCACAGCTGAGAGGAGAGAATGTGTTTTGAATAACCAATCAGATTCTTTTATTTCCACATCTCTCTGCTCAGTTCGGAAATCTGATTGGTTGCTCAATACACAACTCCTCACTTAAGGTTCAGCATAACCAACGCGATCAGCCGGTGTGCAACGATGGGGACCAGACTAAAAGCATTGATCGCCATCGCTGCACGCCGGCTGATCGCGTGATCGCTGAAACTTTATTCGCTTTGTTGGTTGGGTCTTAAATGAGCAACTTACCAGGTCCCTATCGCTGGCCGGCAGCGGCGGCCTCGCCAGCAGCGCGGCGCGCTCCGCATGCGGCACGTCAGCCAGCAGGCGCGGCGCGGGCGGCGGCGGCTGCGGCGCCTGCGCCACGCGAGCTGTGTACGCGCGAACACGCTCGCTGTATGCGCCCGGTTCGAGCGCGTACGGCCCGAGAGCGCCTACGTCTATCACGTTGCTGTAGATACAGGTAAGCATTATATTCGTTTATTTTCTTTTCTGATTCGATCACGCAGGAAAACTCCGAGCATAGCACGCTCCATCGCCCTTTGGGTGACCTTCTTATAAGGCTCATAGTAAGCGACCACGTCTCAGATATTCCATCACTGGCAACACACACTGGTCAAAGACTTTTGTCTTGAGTGAAATTCCGTCGTGTTGAGACACTGTGGTGTTTCGGACGTGAGAATATCGCGAAGCTTCCCGAACGCTGCCCAGCCGAGTTGGATTTGAGCAGAACCGGTCTATGTGGAAGGAAATCCTTGGGGGAGGACTTTGTCCAGAAGTGGATGTCTTTCGGCTGTAACGAACGAACTGTTAGGCCGGGCNGTCAAAAACATGTAACGGAATCTCCGACTTACCACTTTAGTGGAGCGATTACAGAAAATAATGGCCTATTAAGTACCTGTTTTTTTGTGTTATTATGAAAGTTTAGAAAACTGCGCAGTTTTTAAAATTATTTTGGACCTATGGAAATTCTTTTTTTTTCTCATACATTTCAGTTGAAAATTTTATAATGTTCTGCTAAAAGCATATTTTTTATGTTTCTAGCAAAAATTTTGTATATTGCATCAAAGATAGGAAGGTGATTATTTTTTTCAAATATCTGCAACTAATAGGGAATCTGTCAAAAAAAAGAAATCTGAGAAAAGTCAACCCAAAAAAAAGATTAAAAAAAAATTAACCCACTAGGTCATGAAATTTGAAAAAATCACAAAATTAACGATAACTTCTAAACTACGAAAAATCGTATAACATACATGGGGGTGAAATCGATAGGTCTAGTCCTCACCTATCACCTGCCTTCGGCTTGACACCTTACAAGAAACACCCTGTATATCTATATACAATAACCCTACTCTCAGTCGCATACAGCCTCGCTCTTATATTTTACAATTTATAACATTCCTTAAGCCGTTTAATTGGTCTGTTTTAAAAGCAGACGTCAATTAGGCTTTTTCAATAGCAGAATTGATATTTTGAACTCGGTGGCTGATCGTTGTCAGTAGGAAAACTGGCAACACTGGTTTTTTGTAGCTGGCAACATTTAAATTGTCTTTGGTGCGCCTGGTCAAACAAACTCTTTTGATTAAAATCAAACCGTGCCATAGACTTTCCTCGTTGTTAACTANCCTTCTTGTTGGTTCAGCCCGCCATTAATATTCCTATTAAATAAAAAAACTATTGTCAATTGGTCAATGTCATCATTGCATTGCACTGATGGGATAGAAAAATAAACAAGCAAAACCTTATTCGTTAGCAAACGTCATATTTATTTAAATGTTAGCAGCACTGTTTCTTGCACTGTTATGTTGGCAGGTTTGACTCTCAGTACCTAGTGCAAGCGAAAACCGACACTAAGGTGACGAACCTTTTCATTCCGCGACTGCACCTAAACATAATATAATATTCTCAAGAAATACTATGCGATTAATTACGTCACTCATATTTAGAGTCAGTTATTTACGTTTAAAAAGCTTTTCTTTTATTTGACTTATTTCCTTTAGATCATGTTTTACAATATTTATATTAGACATTTAATATGTCTCTACGTACATAGCCAACATGATGAACTAGCAATCTTCTGAAGCCTCAAGTTCGCTCAGGGACTTATCCGGGCAACTGAGCAGTCACGGGTGCTCGCGACCCAAATAAGTTATCTCCCGCACAAAAGAGAGCCGTGAAAATCTATTGCTATTAAATTAACAATATCAGTTCGGCGCATTCCCGCGCCGGAGCTGCGTCGTGCTCGTTAATAACTGTTTCGACTCGGCTGCGTCACAACACAATACTCGGAATACGCCATTTTCAGCGTCCGGAAATTATTTTGTACTATCAGTAATCTCCCCAATGGACGCGTATTATTTCGTTGAATTGAAAGATATGTATTGTTTTATGGTTTGATTTCTTTATTTAATGTAATGTGCTTACCAGCAATCGTAGTGAAAATACGACAGACATTTGGAATTCATTACTTTATTTTTATTACTACAGAGGATCTCATGTTAATGTTATTACAGACTATATTGACTCAAAATAAAAACCAGACAATCCAAGGAATTGGATTGAGGTTTTATCGAATAACTTTGCTTGCAGTTATCAATACAGAATAGCTTCATTTGAGTCTTCAGTACTAAGTTCGAAAAGTACGAAAAGATAAGAACATGATTTACAGTTAACAAGGTGAGGTACTCGTTTCGTTTTTGATATTCTCAAGTTTTTTCACTCTAAATATTTAGTTTCGCTTCACACGAAAAATATTAAGTTTCGGTGTAAAATTCAGCAGTGAGCTTGAATGTGTTCGTTAGCCAGCAGACGATGCATTAGAATGCATTGTAGTTCGGTCACACATTTGAATATGACACCAATGAAGCAAGTTTCGAGGCGAAGAAATTCGCAAATGAACTCCATTCCGATCATTTTTGCAATATTAATAATAATTTCCTTTAAATAAATGAATAAAACAGTTTCATAACATAAGATTTGTCAAAGAACAAAGAACGTTATTGATGTTTACCTATGGTTGTTTATTTTGCTACAAAAATACATCTTTTTCAAATCCAAGGAGTTAGCATCCGCTACATTCGATGGTTCTTGTTACAAACAAGTTCAACGATAGGTATTTGAAGGCTGCTCTTTGAGGGCTTCTTATTATGTACAAAGCAATATGTGCGTCATCTTCTACTGATTTATTATGGAGGCCACTCGTACCTACGTCCGAATTTGTGATCGGCTTGCCTCTTGTTAATATTTTTGACGACAGAGTCGAGATAAATTCCATATTTAAATATTGACCATGACCAATTATATCAGTTCTCGTAGCCTGCGTTATTTTAATACATCATGAATATAGTGTCGTGATTTATGACGAAGATCAAAACGGATTTATCATAAACTAGCTTTCCGCCCGCGGCTTCGCCCGCGTGGAATTTTGTCTGTCACAGAAAAACTTTATCGCGCGCGTCCCTGTTTCAAAAACCGGGATAAAAACTATCCTATGTTCTTTCCCGGGACTCNCAAGTGGGGCTTGCTCCGACCATTGGACGATGGTAGGAAAATAAAGTTGGCGAAGCAAATGTGAGAATACCCGCCAATATTTTTACAAGGACTGAACAATAATATTAAGTTGGGATTCTAAGAAAAAAGAGTGATTTTGTGTGATGTGATGTTGTGATGATTTTGATTTGTCTTTAGAATCTTCAAACCATCTAAAGTTGGAATCTACTATTAACTTTTAGCATTGTCTCACCTCGCGTCTGAACATCTTTCAGGTCATCTTGAGAGTGCTTACGATAAAACATGAGAACACAAGAATATAAAATACTTAAGAGACCTCTTATGTCCGAGTGCCGACCTCTACAAGAGCGGCCCGCGATCTGCTTCACAAACGCGTTTATTCAATGAGCTATTGGAGCGTTTCCATCGAGTAAAGTCAAGACGCCCAAGTTTTGCCGAAAACATAAAACGTGTTCGTCGGGTACTTGTGTTATCGCTATGACGGAGTGATGGCAGATTTACAATTTGGCCTTTATTTAGATATTGTCTTGTGATAAAATGTTAGCACATATTTTTACGAGAGCTTACAGATTGGTTGGGCGTACTGAAGCCAATATAAAGTAACCTTATTTTATGAGAAGCACCTAAAGAATATAGGTAGGTACTCGTTTTATTTAACACAAAAAATAAGTAAGAAAACATGGTATTTACTGACAAGCTCGTATATTAATATAAGATGCTGCAAAAATAGCGAATTATCTCAATTAATGAGGTAATGATCTCTCTAAAATTACCTGCGTAGCCTAGAGCTCCCTGCTAAATGTTTCTTAAACGGGATGAATAAATAAGACTTTGTTTGTCTAACTGTGCAAAGAGCTCGCGCGCAACACGTCCAACTCGGCAGTAGGCGCGCTTCAGTAAATAATATATTGTATCGATCTGGCCGCGACAGGAAAAACTCCGTGGGTTCCCGCGATTTGGCCCAATATAATTTACTGGTACATGATAGTTAACTTCCACGCTATGTCCCCGTAGCAACAAGTATATTGTACGTGACATACGAGTAGGTATGTCTCTTTCTCAATAGTCAATGATTTCTGTCTTCTGTCACATTGTTTTTATTAATGTTATTTTATGATACGAAAACTGTCTGTTTCTATATTCGTTCTGTTACATCTTCAATGTCATACAACTGAATCATCAAAACCTTTGCTCTGTTTTCTAAGCAGAACTGTTGATATCGCTGGATTAATACTAATTGACTAAGTTGAGCACGATACAAAGTACTTAAAGTAGAGAAACTACTTAATCAATCTCCATTAGATAAAGAGCTTTCCAAAGAAAAACATCGCAGGAAAGTTGCAAGGGGCGATGTCAAAGGAGCCCGTGTGTCTCGGGCGAGAGCCTTAATTAATTCCGGCGGTAATTGAAATAGAAGTAGCCTCCTTTAACGTTTCAATGTTGAGATCTGCAGAGAGGAGGTAGCCATAGATAAGCAGATTAGTAAAAAGAAGACGACTGATAAGAAAGAACATTCTTGAATAGTGACTTGCACTGCAATGTCCAGGGGAAGGGTGATCCGGTTTGCATTTGTTTAAATTTCCGTCTCTAAATATTTATTTTATCAACCAAAGTCATTACCGTTGGATAAACCAGCCACTTCCTTCAGGAGTCCCGTTTTGTTCACTACCCCTGACAGTGCTTCTCAAACGTTGTCGCTGAGCAGCATGTTCAAAATAGACTTGAAACCATAACTCTACCCTCATAATTTCTATAAAAAATGGTTAACTTATTATTAAAATATATAAAAAGTGTTACTTATTTATGCATTTTTTTCGGACCCTACCTGTCCACAATCATGATATTCATATCGCGTCTGACAGTTTGCCATCCACTGGCCTCATAAAAAACCCACCGCAGAAATAAAGGTCCCAATTAGCGCCTTAGGTTCCAGCCCGCCCTGCGCTCACCGCCAACAAGTACTT